CCTCAACAACTTCCCCAAAAACGACATGACGCCCGTCCAACTAGGGAGGGAACACAATCGCCATTATATTAGGCTCGAAGTAGTATGTGAGTACTCACCCATTTCGTTGCTACTGTGGTTATGAAAAACTAGATGTGGTTTTGAGCACCGATATGCAATCAGCGAGAGGAACACCGAACAGTACCTGTGATCCATTTGTATTAGGCCCAGAGTTGGCCATGGAAAGAAGACCAGGTTCCGAGTGAGAGCATCGGAAATTCTCGTCTGTAAAAAGGTTTTCAACCATAACGACCACCATTCGAGTAGTAAGGGGATCAGTGGTTACCAGCGAACCAGCCCCCTCCATAGATCGAATGGCCTCCCGTTCCATTATGAGCCGTAAAGTCACCACCTTGTATCATGAACTGATAGAGAAGATAAGAGGCTTTAGAGATGCTGAGGGGGGTAGCATATACCTTGGGAATGATGCGATGGAAGATGCTGCCTGCATAACCAAATCCTAATCGACCAGTAGCTAGCTCTCGGAAATTCCTTGCTGTCCGAGGAGTAACATCATCGTATAGCTCGAAAACAATACGTCCAGCGGGCTGGCCTTGAATTGATACATCGAACTGAGGGGTGCCTGTAAGGCCTCGAATAATGCCTGGAAGGTGGTCGCCTGGTCACTTACGAAAACGTTCGACCTATAATTACCAGTCATTTTGTAAGTTGAGAGAAATCATAACGCGTCCATTGTCGTACATTCCAAATAAACGACGTGCAATAAGTGACCAGGGGGGTCTATCCTGGTGCGAAGGTTGGCCATAAATCAAAGTATGCCGAGGGAAGATAGTTAAGAAAAAGGACGGTTATTTCACGTGCCAGTATGTAGTAGTAGTATGCCGAGAAGACTCACTATCTTCACTTCTCACCGTGACGACTGCCAGAAAGTTTTGGTCGAAACCTCGAGTAATATTGAGAGGGGAGGGTTTTGAAGGATCCGAAACTAGCTTGTGAAGTTATATACCGTTGGTATGATTTGATATCTGATTTGTCACTGCTTCGAGATCCCCTTCGACGGTCCATACATCGCTCCAATTTACCCCTCGAAGCCTACACTTGTGCGCCTTTGAATCCACGAAATGTTCCGGTAGGTACAGAACCATATGCTGCTCTTGAAACTTCTCAGTCGGTGCTAACTACTACTAAATGCTGTCATCACTCAGGACCCTGACAAGAAACCCAACAATCTGCTTTTCCTTCTAATTCACAAGTTCACAATGTAATCTTCATCGTTCAATTTTGAAGCGCTAAGACTGCACGGAATTCTAGCGAATTAAACCGTCCTCATGCTATGGTCTCTTCTCAATGGCAGGAGCTAACCACGTCAAATCAATGGCACTCACTAGTATGACTCGGGAAACACCGCTTATAACTATCGACCGATGAAAATAAAGGTGTTCTATCAAATTCCCAAAAGAAATTCTGGCAATCGCCTTTACTGATCTACAAGGATTCAGTCGTGTGCAGATTCTCCGATATATAGTGTGAGGTACGATTTTCGTCAGGCTAACCTATAACGGTGAACGCTGAGGAGAGAGGGGACTACTAACTTTGCATGTAAGCGGCCGTCACTGTGTATCGAAGTCTATCATCATGGTTGCCTCATATACTCCAGTCATTGCTAACTGAGAGTGTTTATTTCTGTGAAGGAAGGTAGGATCCCTCGATCTTGTTTGTTACGATGAAGTCAGTTATGTAAGTTATAGCACCAAGACGCATTCTCATCATCTTTTTCAGATTACTCCCCTTCAATGCGCCCAGTTTCATTGTTCATTGAACAAGTAGGAAAATTATTTGCTCATAGTGTCTCCTAGAGGTACGTTCATTGTTGGGCTCATGAAGCCTGTTTCGTAGAAGGCTCCATGTAAGTACAAGTGGATTAGAACGATCATGATCGATATGTCAATGTGGTTTTCTCTCAACTTCTTCGAATGGATCATGTATTACTGGAGTATATCTAAATCTAATGACGTTTGTGTACGCATATAAGTATCTCGTCATTACTGTGTCCGTCTTTGGTGAGCTAACATTCTGAAGAGACTTATCCATTACAGGAATGGGGCAATCGTCATGCTCATAAGAGCTTTCATCAACGTTGGCCTTGATGTTACATACCTTCATGTCAAGGATGTCATCTTCCTTGGCTCTCATGGACTGGCATGTCATGTAATGACCCCCTCTCTTTCAAGTTCCCAAACCTTGCTTTCTTGGGACCGATGAGGTTTTCTACTGTCCTGGACCCGATTAGGAACAACTGATTCTGTTCAAGACAAGGCGAAAATAACTGTTCCCAAGCCCATATTAGAAATTTAGGTACCTCTCGCCTCGAGGAGCGAGCACGTTCGAGCAATGCGTATAGGAATTTCCCGCAAGTGGCCAAAATGAAAGCACTGATTCTAGGGGTTTGGAAATATATTGTAATCCAACAACCTCCGAAATCGTTATGCGAACAGGCTTTAGATATCATGTTCTTGTTCGAGGACTAACAATTCCTATACAGGTTCCGTCGGTTTCGTTAGATTCTCGGTGACTTACTTTCTGGCTGAGTGCATGTTGTGTATCGGGCCACATAAATTCGGAAGAAATAGAAGCAAGGAAACACGAAAATAGGACGGTGCAAGCAATGGGTAGAACGAGAATTATAGCTGCATGACAATGTAAGGGGTGAATCAGTGATGAATATGTATTCGTATCTGTTGACCAGCTATTCCTGAAGGGTGGCGTGAGTCATTCATGACGGTGATCTCTACTTCGCCCTGGCAGGACGTGCGATCTGGTGTCGATGCGGATCCAGCAGCAGCGTTGTGTTTGTCAACAGGCTCTTGCTCAGACGTACACGTGCAGCGGAATTTCAAAGCGTGGAGGGAGGAAGATTGTGTAGGAGTGGCAATGGTGGCTTTATGGCTGACGAGTAACATGAATTTCAAAACGGTGTACAACAAGATAGATACTATACTCACTTGAATGGAACACGAGAGATTTTGCGAATGTCACGAGTTACTTGCTTGGCGCGTTTCGCGACGTTACAATCCGGATCGGCGACGACAGAATAACAGGCTTTGTAGTTCAAGCGCGTATTCTTTCGAATGAGGCTCTTCACTTCGTGATGCATCTCTTCAGCGGTTTGGAACTCGGTCCCGAAGGCCATGCGATCTTCACTCGACGCGTCAACGCGTTTCTGAGGATTGTCAAGTACTAGAACGCGTCGAAATAGGAGAGGCTTTCGTACCTTTTGCAATCGTTTCTTCATTCGTTCCAACGTGTCGTCCAGTTCCTCTACAGCTTTCCTCTTCAGGCTTGATGACGACGAACTAGGGTTGTGTTCCACAGTCGTCTTTTCATCGAACATGAAAGTTGCTCCACCCAATTTGATTCGATCTTTCTTCTGTTTTCTATATGCGTTCTGTTTCTTTCGACAGTCTGAGCAGCTCTTATAGCCCTTGTCTGCGATTTTACGGCACATGTTGCATTTCGCTGGAAGTGGCGCCGGTAGAGCTCCAGACATGGTGTTGGTCAAAGAGAAAGGTCGACTGTGGGCCGTGGCGCTTTTTTATTTGTTGAGCTCACGGGAATGGCACGTGCACGAGTCACGACGCGACCTTGGTGGTCCGTGCGCACACCGAACTGCTTTTTCACCCTGGGTTCGGACCAAACTTCAAAATCCATTGATAATTCTTCCTCAACTCATCCAGAAGGTGGTGTGATACTACCGAATGGCATCTATCTTGAGCTTATACAGGTATTTCTGTGCTGAGGCACACCTTTCATACTCACTCACGTCTCAAGTTAGTGCTGCATTTGCCCGGCGACCGATGGCTACCCAAAGCGCGACTTCAGCGATAATATTTGGTACCGGAGACATCATAGCTCAGCAATTAGTGGATAGAAAGGGTCTCAAAAATCACGATGTGAGTCTGTTAGCACCCTAGCGGGACCCAGCCTAACCCGAGTCCACCCAGTATACTAGAACCGCACGGTTTCTTTTCTATGGAGGTGAATTTATGCTCCTCCGATTGCGACTGAGTATCCCTCAAACCATACCTCTCCCGATGCGATTCCTGATTATAGCTTGTCTGTTTGGGCCTGTTCTAACGAAATGGCACCAATTCATCAATCGTAGACACTTCGACAGTCCTCTTCGGGCTGTTATATACAAAGTATGCTGGCCGTCTTTCTTCGGCCTCTGAAGTCTTGACGAACGAATAATTCCCGAGGTTACGCTTGACCAATTTGTCGCTGCTCCTTGCAAGTCATGCCAATTTGCATTCCTTATGCTTTCTGGAATTCATGGAACTTATTGCAGTCATCACGGTTCCAATGTTCTTTGGCTCAATGAGTATAATGGAGGGTCGTCCGGACGAAGCTATCCCAAGAATTAGAAATGTTCGTTCTATTACTCTCCAGATGTGACGGAGGAAATAAACTGGTACCACAGTCCTATGTCTCTACGCTCACCCGTGGTTGGTGAGTAAACGTACTTGGATTCTCCGCGGTCTAATCTCCAAAACCTTCCAGGTGTCTCTTTATACCAGCACAGATAGTTAATTTTGCTTTTGTCCCGATATCAATGCGCATCTTGTTCTTCAGCACTGTCGCTCTATGTTGGAGTATGTCGATCCAGGTCTATTTATACTGTGATCGGTCATTTAGAGCTGACGTATTCTTGGTAGACACATACTTGTCGTTCTTCAATGCTAGACAAAAACAACTGCAAGAGCAAGCCGAAAATTCACCGTAGAGTCACTAGAGGTGACCAGATTATCTATAATCGGGGTCGGTATTAGTACAGTGATAAACTAGGAATATTCTCCGTGATAATGCTAGCTAACAAAACTTTGAAAGCGACCGTCCATGCGTTGCTCGATGCTGGACGAATTGCAGCTTTCGTTTAGCGTTGGTTAGTACGATTCCTTCTCGCGTAGTAAGTACTTGTTGTAGACTTGAGGCGATTTAGCTATGCTGGAATGGCCGAGTCGTTAAGGCGATAGATTTGAATTATCATCATCTATTACTCTCTGAGTGCGTAGGTTCAAATCCTGCTTCCAGCGTTTTTTCGTCAATTTTGGCAGCGGTCGGTGACGAAAGCCTATCTGAGTCTTGTATTTTCTTCTCCTCATACGGCCATCATCTGAATTCAAACATCTAATATCTAATCCCAATGCAACTCTTTGACTGTAACCAAGCATCGGCAATACCTGCTCCATCTAATTATTCGAAATTTCAACATAAGCTCAATTCTCTCCATAATTTCCTCCAACTTCATTTTGGCAACTCTTCCAAGGATATAGCTTCCGATGCCTGTGATCTATTCCTAGTCTCTCCACGGAACCATACGATCAATTGTACTTTCTGATCTTCAGCACTAACTTCGGATTCGACAACTACAATTCACCCTCTCTGCATCATAGTAGACAAGAGCGACGATTTTCCGGGCTAGACGTACTTTTTTCTACAGGAAAATACAGGGAAAATGTGCGGCCTTTCTACGTGGTTATCTCCGTTCCATGTACCGGGGAAATTCAGCGAGCTGTGTATGATGGTCGACCGTCTAATGAAGTCTTTCGTTGGGGTATATAAGCAGACAACGGTGAAGGCGTCCTCCAACGGTTCTGACAACTTCCCGTCCTCAAAAAATGTTTCGCTCTGCAGCTCTCATCGCCTTTACTCATCTGGCTGTTGCGTACGGTCAACAAGCTGGTAGGATCTCCGTCGAGTGAGCTTGTATAGTGATTACTGATATTTCGGTTGAATCGTACAGGAACCTTGACCGCGGAAACTCACCCACCGCTGACATGGTGCGTGTCGATTACTTAGTGCTACCCAATTCGCTGAATCTAACACCAGGGAGCAATGTACGGCCGCAGGTAGCTGCACCAGTCAAAGTTCTGCCGTCGTTCTCGACGCCAACTGGAGATGGCTTCACGATGTCAACTCCGCGACGAATTGCTACACCGGCAACACCTGGGACGCGACTCTCTGCCCTGATCCGACAACTTGTGCTGCAAACTGTGCACTCGACGGTGCAGACTACGAGGGTATGTTACACCGAGGGATGGTGCAAAAGACCTTGCTGACATTTTCCAGGGACTTACGGTGTCTCCACCAGTGGAAATGCTCTCACTCTGAAGTTTGTCACCCAGTCCGCCCAAACGAACGTCGGATCTCGACTTTACTTGATGGCTCCTGGAAGTACTACCGAATATCAGACGTTCCAACTCGTCAACCAAGAATTCACATTCGACGTTGATGTTTCTCAACTCCCTTGCGGTCTCAATGGTGCTGTCTATTTCTCGCAGATGGATGCAGATGGTGGAATGGTACGTTCAATATGTTCGTTTCTTCTTGATAGTCACTCAATTTGACTGGAAACAACAAGGCCCGCTTTTCGGGTAACAAGGCGGGGGCTAAGTTTGGAACCGGGTACTGTGACTCCCAATGCCCACACGACATCAAGTTCATTGATGGAGAAGTATGTGTTTTCTCTCAGAACGCCCAAGCTATGGATACTAACAATTCGATCCCAAGGCCAACATCAATGACTGGACCCCGGCTAGTAATAGCGCCAACACGGGAACCGGTGCCACTGGAACTTGCTGTTCAGAGATGGATATCTGGGAAGCGAACTCTATCAGTGCCGCCGTTACGCCTCACCCTTGCACTGTCACGGAACAAACAGCTTGCACGGGCTCTACATGCTCTTCTCCCAACTCTACCGCGGGTGTCTGTGACCAGGCCGGATGCGACTTCAACTCGTACCGTCTCGGAGACACGACCTTCTATGGTCCAGGAATGACTGTCGACACCACTCAGCCCTTCACCGTTGTCACCCAGTTTGTCTCTTCGAACAACGAGTCCACCGGCACTCTTTCTGCCATCCGTCGTCTCTACGTCCAGAACGGTGTCGTCATCCAAAACTCTGAGACCAACATCCCTGGAATCACCACCACTAACGAGATCGACGCTCAGTTCTGCCAAGAACAGAAGGCTGCCTTTGGCGATACTGACACTTTCGACCAAAAGGGTGGACTCGCTGGAATGGGAACTGCTTTGGCCGATGGCATGGTCCTCGTTCTGAGTATCTGGGATGACTACGCTGTGAACATGCTCTGGTTGGACAGCACCTACCCAACCGACGGTGATTCTCCTGGAGACTTCCGTGGATCCTGCCCAACGGACTCGGGTGTGCCCGCTACTGTCGAGGTGGGTTTTACAGACTATGGATAGTTGTGATATACTCAATCAGGGTTTGATACCAGGCGCAATCTCCCAATGCTCAAGTTACCTACTCGAATATCAAGGTTGGACCTATTGGCTCGACATTCAGTTCTTCCGGTTCGACGGGTACTGGTACTGGTACTGGCTCTGGTACTGGCTCTTCGAGTACCGCCCCTACGTCCACTGGCAGTGCTCCTGCCGCTACACAGACTGTATACGGCCAATGGTAAGATCGAAAAATATTTTTCTCTTGATTTCTTTCTGATGCAACGCCTTTACTAGTGGTGGTGTTGGTTACACTGGTCCCACTGTTTGCGCCTCAGGATCTACATGCACTGAGTCTAGCACTTACTACAGTCAATGTTTGCCTTGATGTTCCAAAGAGGTGACTGATCATGATGCATACCCATCGTGACTGCTCCGAGGACATCTCTAGTCTATCTCGTTTGTTTCATTTCGGCGCGAGCTCGCAATATATGAATTCCTTTGGTACCCGAGACCGAAACTTGGTAATGCTGGATCACCACCTGATTTAAGTGACCACAGCAAGAAGCCTGTATGTATTTAGGATTTTCATGAGGTCCAACGTGCAACACTGATATTGGATAAAAGAATCAATCCGCCGAGCACTTTATGAGCACCCTATTTGATGCACTCATTAATATCGAAAGCACCTCAGTTTTGACGAGTTCTGACTAGGTTACAAACCGGGTACTGTGTCTTTGTCTATACATACTAACTGTTGCGACCACGAGTAGAGATGGCAGTGACTCTGTCCAGCCTCAAGATACGAATGAAAAGAGCGGGGTGAGTGAGTACTATTAGTATGTACAGCTGTTGGGAGAATGATACTCACGATACACAGGAAGTTTAATGTTGGGGTCATCCACGGAATACATACTATCACTCCGTTTTGCCAATCCTCGTATGTGTTCAAATGTTAAATGAACCCGGTTGCGATTACAACATGATGGACAACCGCTTCTATCTTTGATCGTGTATCCTCTGGGAGACTGTAATGGAAGACAGGACCTTTAAAAATCCAAGGAAATCCTTGCTTTCTCCCTAGCCTCGTACAGGTCGACACGGCATACCCATGGAAAACGAACAGCAAGCCGTTCAGTCTTTGTGAGTCTCACACTCACTGCTCGAACAATGTTTCGAATTGACCCAACTGTCGTTCGCAGGTATGGACCCATATTCATTGGCGCATTCCTCAATGCCATACTATATGGGGTATCTATGTTTCTTTTTTCTACTGCCTCGCATATCTGAGCCTGGTTCTCGCGCTCGCGAATTCTCAGGTTCTTTCTGTACAGGTACGCATTCTGTACGTTCTCATTCACAACGCAGATTCTGATATGAACGAAAGACCTATTTCTACTTTCAGAACAGCAGCAGGTAGGCCAGTCAGAACGTTGAACGCTCAGGAATTGACAATGAGATAAAGGGATGCTCGTTGGATCAAAGTTCTGGTAAGCTCTCTTGATCCTGTTGCAAACAGCTTGCTGAATGAATCATAAGGTGGTCTTTGTATTGATTGCAGAGACTATCAGTTTTGTACTGGATTTCGGCGTTGTTTGGGAACCTCTCGTTCAGAACTACGGTAAGTAGTCTGTGTCACTTTGAATTCCCCCGCCTGTCTTCTCACCAAAGTTCCTCAGGATCCCCTAGAATATTCGAAATAACGCCAACAAGTGAGTAGCACATACTAATCATCGTGATATCACGTTGAACTGACCACCAATTATCATGGAAGCTTTCAGTGCGGGTATGGATTTTCCTTGGAGACCATTCATTATCATCTTCCAACTCATCTTGACTTTCCTCAGATCCCATGGTTACGGTATGTATGACGAACAACGAAGCATCGAGTTCCAAGTAGCTGAACCTTTGAACAAGTCGTGCATTTCAGCTGCTGTGCAGCTTTTCCAAGGCTGGCGAATTCGCAAGCTGACCAAGTCGAACATTGTCCTTGTGCCAATCGCGTTGACGGCTCTCGCCAGTCTAAGTAAATACCAAGCTTTCGCAGATCCTGACGCGAGTGATTAATCAACTTGATCGAACTTTTAGCGGCTGGCTTCGCCACTACCATCCTGATTGCCTTCCATCCAGGCTGGACCCAGATAGGAATGTTCGAGTTTGGCTTTTTGTCTTGGTTAGTAGCGTCGGCTTTGTGCGATGTGGTGATTGCTCTGTCGCTTTCGTGGTTTGTGGCAAGTTCAAGGGTCTATCGCATGGGAAAACATTGTGCTGATGAATGCTCCTCCTCTAGTTGCGTAACAAGTCGGCCTTTTCTTCGACAAACTCTGTCCTCAACCGGATTATGCTCTGTGCGTGCCTCCTGCGTACTTAGTCTTTAAGTAGATCTTGAACTCATACATTCTACATCACAGTGACTTTGCAAACAGGATCCATCACGGCTGTCGCTGCCATCGCTGATGTCTTCACTTTCACGCTCAGCCCGGTGAGTATCATAGAACGGTCGCTCTTGCAATATCAGCCAAGCTAAACCTCAAGTCATTTGTAGGATAAGACACTGTCCGTATTGACCGTTTCACATTGTTGTGCACCGCGTTTGATGACTTGTGTAACTTATTTCCAGGGAATTCGTCTGGGCTTATTCTCTCTCCAAATTGTACTCCAACACTCTACTCTCGATGTAAGTTCCTTGGCTGTATGGTGAATTATCCTGTACGAACTATCTCCGTAGGCTGAACGCTCGCGTTGAATGGAACAAAGTCCTGGAGCAACCGAGCAACCGGACGCAAAGCGAGGTCACCTTCTACCACGTAGAGCCGGTTCGAGTCTCGAACAATATAGGGAATACAAACCCGCAGATGGTGATGCCCCTAGTCTCTGTATTACATAGGTCGACTCTTTCACTGACGTGATCTTCATACAGGATCTTGAACCTCATAACGAGGTAAGAGTTTGTTCTGGCACGGGTTCTGCAGCCAGACGTGAATTGAAATTCATGTGTTCTTTTATAGAAGCCAGCTACAGTGGTGTTTCCCGCTTTCTAGAGTTCAGAGACCGTGCGCGGTTCAGAGCGTGCACCGAGCTCTTCGTACAATCCTGAAACAAATTGTAAATGTAAGTTATTGAGATTGAGTGGCTGAGGGAGAATCAGCATGAACATTGAAAGCAATATGATCGTGGACATGTATGTACTTGAATTATTAGATGTAATATTTAAGGAGTCGGACTCCAATGTTATATATAGGGGAATGGACAAGCCAGATGGATGCGACGAGCAACATCAAAACTCTGGAAACTTCCCCCAAAGACCAGAGAGAGCACAAGAACCACCATGAAGAATAGAACGCGAGCTTCATAACCTAAGTAGAGCATCAGAATGATTGAAGAGGCGAATCGTCGTCAAGAAACATACATTATACGACGTCCTGGACCATGAAACGTTCTCATCTTCGAACTTTGTGCAAAGAACGAGAGCCGAAGGATCGAAAGCATTTTCCTTCTTTTCTGCAGACAGTTCAAGGTGGCGATGGCGGTAGGTAATAGCTCGGGTTTTGGAGTTGGCATCGAGGGCATTGTTGATGAGCTCAAGGGCTTCAGACACTGTAGCGTAGTCTGGATTAGCTTGAGAAAGGGATCGCATGGCTATCAAAGGGTCGATGAGCGCGTTTCTTTGAAAGTATGTCATGAATGGAAACTCACCATCCATCGCGTTCTCGAGATATTCACCCGCTAGTTCTACGGATATGCTCGCGCGGCAGTAGAGTAAGTCATTCATACGTGCGGTAGATTCAGCCGGAGTGGATAGAATCTCGTTGGTGAAGTGGTTGACCATCTGGAGGTATCGCCGTTTCTTCGAGCTAGGCTGTGGCTCGATTGGAATACATGTTGTCGTTGGATCCATGAGGGGAGTGGCGAGTAGAGTTGGTGAGTGGGGTGATGGTGGTGTTAGCGAAAGCCGTATAAATACTGAACGCCTTTGTTATGCGAAATATAAGGCATCGTTCTTGCTTTGTGTCGATTTTTCTGGGCAAGAATGATTGTGGAAACCACGTGTCGATCGCGTTCGTTTACTTTGTCTTTGTTTGTACCAGACTTGCCTCTCTCTTATCAACCACTACCATCCCCCACTTCTTTCAACAACAACTTATCTCTAAATCGACATGTCTGGACGCGGAAAAGGAGGAAAGGTAAATTCTCGCCTTTGCTGCTCTATGAATCTCTTGCTGATATACACTACTAATCTTTGTGTAACAGGGTCTCGGAAAGGGTGGTGCTAAGCGTCACCGGAAGATTCTTCGTGACAACATTCAAGGTTCGTCTTCGTACCATTTTGGATGAACTCGCTCAACTCAATTCTCTCAGGTATCACGAAGCCTGCTATCCGTCGTCTCGCCCGTCGTGGTGGTGTCAAGCGTATCTCTGGTCTTATTTACGAAGAGACTCGTGGTGTCCTGAAGATTTTCCTTGAGAACGTTATCCGTGATTCGGTCACCTACACAGAGCACGCCAAACGGTAAGATATCGATAGTGCTTGCTGTCCACATTCCCGTTGACGATTCTCTGTAGAAAAACCGTCACTGCCCTCGATGTCGTGTACGCCTTGAAGCGATCTGGTCGTACCTTGTATGGTTTCGGAGCTTGATTAATATGAAGTGCGTGTGTTCTTATACCATGCGAACTCGCGAACTCAAGACCATTGTCATGCTTAGGATTATGTCCGTTTCTTTTCACTCGATTTGTACTATCATGTATCCCATTCTATGCTCAATCGCTACCAGTCGCCAGCTGGTCTTAATCCATATGCGTAAAACATCATTCTCTGTTGCTGTTATGGCTTCCCTTATATATAGCCTTGTGAACCGCGATGCAAGAACGAGATCCTCTGACTGCTTTCTTCATGTCGAATCAACGAAGAGGTATTTGACTGTACAGCACCACCATAGGTTTTCCTGCCGATTAATCTGCCGACTCAACTCATGGTGTCATAACGGTCGTTGCGCAAGGTTGTATGTCAAATGGTTCCAGAATCAAGCCCTAACTGAAGTTTGGTCGGCACTGATACTGGTTTTATATTAGCTCTCGTCCATCCTGTTTGTACACTCGTCCTGCCTTCATCACAAAATCTATGCTGTCCAGCGTTCCTTCAAAGTCATCGAAATCACCCTTGACACCTACCAAGTCTCCAGCCCACCCTGGTCGTACGCAACCGAAACGATGGTCATTATCACCAAGGGGCATACTGTGTCCACCGTCTGGGTATACTGCATCCCAGTTCATTGACCGGATACATTCCCATCCACCCAAAGTCCCCCACCTCAACACCTTTTTCCAATTTGCGCCAAGTCTCACCATCAACTTCATCTCCAATGCGTTCTCCCCATGCGGAAAGGTACCTGTATCACCTCCGCATGCAATGTTCTCCATCCCCATCGCTACCGCCTGCTGAAACATCTCGCTGAGGACCTTCCAAGCCTGGTTCGCCCGAGGGTCTTTTCCCCCGGTGAATTGGACTTGGGAGTAGAAAACGGCGAGAGTCGGGACCCAAGTCGTGTTGTGCGAGTTGTATAGGAGAGGGAGGAGGAAATCTGGGTGTGGAGTCAAGGTCGAACCGTGCTCGATGGAGTCGATGCCGAGTTTGAGCAGTGTGGCGATGGTGTTGGCGTTGCTGGTGTGGGCGGCAGCTTTGACACCTAGGGCGTGGGCGGTGTCGATCATGGCTTGAAGCTCAGCTTCGTTGAAAGTGGGTAGTGCCGTGGTAGCGACACGGGGTGAGATATCGCTCGTGCGAGACCGGAACCGATAGTCTATAAGCAGAGATTGTCATTCGGAAGCTTCTGGCGTTGACATTGAATGGTGGATTTACCTGCGTAGATCTGGAAGAAACGGAGAAGGTACGTTTGAGTTCCTGATAGTCTATCGAACCGGAGTCGTTCATTCCACACCTTTATCCAGTCAGCTCCTGCACCAATCTGCCTTCTCGTGGCCCGTATACACTCCTCGACGCCGTCAGCTACTTCTGCACCAGTCACACCTTCTACGCCTTCCTGGTCATTGTGAAGCGAGCTTTTTGGCCCTTTGGCAAGTTATCAGCTCACAGGACAGAGGTCACAATTTGGGCTTTACCATAACTGCCGGTGCAAACGATGGCTTTGTTTGCGCAGAAGTATCTTGGTCCTACGATTATGGGACTCGGGCCAGACAAACATTTTCGTAGGGAAATGTCAGCGTCCCCAGCGCCTTCAGTTCCAAGGTCCCTGTTCGAGTGTTCTAGTGTTCGAGCAGCGGTTGACTGTTTTGCCGAGCTATTGGCATCGACTTACCTCACAGTTGTGAAACCAGCCATCAAGGTCTTTCGTGCATGCACAGTGGCACGGATCGTTCTTTCCACAAGGCTCTCTTTGGTAGTCTGGTCATCCCAGGAGGTTTCTCCGTAGGAGTGCAAGAAAACTCCGAGGACACAGTAAACATTCGACCACAAACGTTGGTTTTTGGTGGTACTCACAATGTACGTGAGCGTCAACGAAACCCGGGAGGATGGTCAGATGCCTGAGATCAATTGTGTCGGTGTCGTCTGGTATGTCATCATCATTTGTGTCTTCGACAGTGAGAATGAGTCCAGAGCTCTTCGAGATTGTGATTGTTTGTGAAGGCAAGAATTGTAGCTTGTAGGGATCGAAAAGCCTTCCAGCTAAGATCTTTTGAACAGTGCTCGTTGCAGAACGATCTTGTGCTATAGCTGAGATAGACGACTGTGGAGTGCTAGTGAATTTTTGAGTCATGGATACTGGGAAAGGTCGTGAAGGGTGAGAATAAAAAGTGGCCCGTGTACAAACTGAACGCGTTCTGACGCAAATTGCATGTACTAGGTTCCATGTTCGCACAGAACTTGGAATGGGGGATTGCAGGGCCTCGGGCTAAGATACACCAATAACAGCTATGAACCTCATACTGACTTTCAATTGCGCTCACTGCAGTCTACTGGACTCTACTTCGATACTATCGATATCTTTGCGTATGATCATCAGATCGCGATCGGCGACAAAAGGTAAGCACAGGATCTAGAAACAAGAAACAGAAGAACATACTGCACTGGCCTAGCGCAGCGCCCTTATGAGCAGTTGGCAGGGGGAGATGACCTTTGTTTCTTCTTCAAAAAATAAGAACAATCAAACCCATGCCTCCTACCAGATTCGAACTAGCGACCTTTCCATCATATTGTACGAGTGGAACGCTCTACCCCTGAGCTAAGAAGGCAACGCTAAAAAGGAGAAAACTCTGAACATGACTAGCACTACTCACTGCGAAGAAGTTGTAAGTTGACATAATATCTCCCTTCGTCCAATAAGTGATGAATTCACTTACGGGGCACTGAACAAAATAAAGACAGAAAGTTGCTTCCGAACCGCACAGTGTATATGAATATAAGAAAAGTTCAGTAGGAATATAAACTAGGGTATCCGAGAAATGCTTCTTAGAGAAATGCATGCAAAGCAGAGAAGGAATGAGGTGAGTAATCGAAAATGAATGACGCACAGTAGAGACGAATGGCATAGGAAATAGAAATGACAAAGGGCACACACAAAGGCAGGACAACTATGCACTTTGTGTGATAGGTAGATTTCCATACATGAGAGGCAAACAAAGAAGGAACAATATAGACGATTTGACAACATGTGCGCCGTATACAGACCATCTGAACAGCATTAACAGTAGAAAACTGGCAGGAAACACGGAAAGAAAATCAGTGGTAGACAAACATAGACAGAATAAAGCTTACAAGTTAAGATCCACGATAGCCAGCGAGAAGAAAAAATAATGTAGGAAATCACCAGATGCACAACCCCTCCTTATAAAATCCGAAATGTCTCCTACTTGAATTCCTTTCACTCTTCCTCTTCCTCCTCTTCCTCTAGAACATTATGCAATGGCGCGCCATGAATGTAACGCCCCGGACTGGCTCTCCCCGCATCCTCTCCTAAACCCAAATTGACTTTTGATGGAGGGACCAGCTCATCCAAACCATTAACGTCGTCATCAGCATCGTCGTCGTCGTCGTCTTGGTCGTGTAGTTGACTGTTGATTCCCACTGTACCAGTCAACGAGGGCGAGGGCGATTGAATCTTGGTCAGAGGTTTGGCAGCGGGCACAGGCGCAGCAGGCGAGGTTGGTAGCGAAGGTGCTGGTGCTGGTGCTTTAGGAGCTGAAGACACTGTTTAACATACCAGGGGATTGGACCAATCATCGAGAAAAGCACTCACGTAACTTCGGAATGGCTGATGAAGCAGTAGCAGAACTAACAGGAATTTTTGAATGGGTTACTCCTCCAGGAGGTGAAGCCGGTGATGACGGCAGACTCTTCTTCTCTTTCTCCCGATACATCTCAATGAGTGCCGCTGTCTTGCCTGGCGTTCCCGATGTAGAGCCCAGTGTGGATGTCAGAACAGATGACTTGGTCGGCGTGGGCAAGGCACTTGGTTTTGTTGGAGTAGTTGAAGAGGGAGGCACAACAGTGGCTTTGGGCGGGAGCACAGGCGGCGATGATGATAATGGAAGAGACGATGATCGTGGTGGAGGTGATGTCGAAGACGGACCAGATTGAGGAGGTATCGACCCATTCCGAGGAGGCAGAGTAGGAAGCGGTCTTGCCACATCAGTTCTCGCAGCGTAGATCTTGTCCAAATCCTTCGGCGCACCATCATGTTCGTCATCCGAGCCATGGGCGTATCGAGCACGAGGGTCATCTTCATCCGAGTGTTCTTCATCCCCACTTTCATCAGATCTATCTAAATCAACATGCTCGATATCCTCGTCAAAGTGGTTGTGACCACCTGAAGCAAACATGTCAGCCTCCAAAGAGGACATTGCCTCCGGCTGGTGTACATCCAGCAGTTCATCCTGGGCATCAGCAGTTTGTTTGAGCAATTCTTGTGAAGCTCTTCTTCGTTCAGGATGAAGGTCGAAGTATCCCAACCGGCGGCGAGGAACAGACGGTGCGAGATCAGCATCTTCTCCATCTGGATAGTCTCCAGATGTATACGAAGTGTCGAGATCACCAGAAGTGTAGGACAACGTTTCATGATACCCATTCCCTTCTTCCTTTCCCTTCCCAAACCGAGGCACAGTCTGTACCTCGATATCGTCAGAATCCGAATGGATCTTTCCAGGACCGTCGGTCTGGCCTTCCAACAGACTTTCGTCGTCCATGCCAGGATACGGCTGACCGCCTCTCACGGCGCTCAACACCCGAGCAACTTCTTGCGAGGCTTCTTCGGGGTCTCCTCTACTACTATCAGCTTCGCCTCCCAGTCCTCGATGAGCGCCATAGCCAGGAACGACGATATCCACCCATGCTTCGTCGTCATCGTCATCTATACCACTCTTCCCTCCCAGACCGATACTGAATCGCTTCCCTCTTCGTTGACTGCGAAGTTTTTCCCGCTCAGCAAGTCTCGCAGCTCGCCTTCGACGAGCGGCTTCTTCGAGGAATCCATCCCCGGTGGTCGTTCCTTCAATATCGTCACGCCCATCTCTCCGAGCATCAAAAGTCGTCTCCTCTTCCTTCCCCGTATCGAGATCGTCACTCTCCCCACCGGACGCTAACCCGGTCAACCTCGTCTCGAACTCAACCGTGTGATATTCCGCAGGAACGAGGTTCTGTCTCGACTGTCTTTTGCTCGTTTTGGGTTTCGGGCCTTTGGGTTTCGGGGTTGATTTCGGTGTGGGTTTGGGGGAAAAGGTGGAAGTGGGACCTAGACGGAAGATGCTCCTGATAGGAGTCGAAGCGGAATCTTGAGTTTGCGGGAATGAGTCCGGTGGTAGAGGCACAGTGTGTGACGATCCCGAGTCTTCCCCCTGAGTTTGCTGATTGGGTGCGGTCAGGTGTGTGTCAACGCTGAGCCCGATTTCCTCCTCAGGTTCCCCATCTGTTACCTCAACATCTGAGGAAAGACCAGGCTCGGGGCCCAAGGTATGTAACGCTCCGTTCAACGTAAGCACCTTCGTTCCTCGATTCCCATCTGCCAACATTTCATCAAACGCTTCCAATTTGCCCTTTGCCGTCACCGGCGTCGTGCGAGGATTGGGATTGGGACCGGGACCTGTAGGCGTCAGCGGTGAATCCGGGGTGTCGACCTGGCCTGCGCGGGAGTAAGATGGATCCAGAGTGGAAGGTTGGAGCCATCTGTCCTTGGAGTTATTATACGGGGTAGGTGTAGAGTTTGTGATGGTACGCGTGCTGCCGGTGAAGAACGAGGGCGCGAGACTCTTCTCTTTGTCTTTCTTCTCTTTCTTCTCCTTTCTTTTCTTAGCGTCTTTGACAGCCTTATCCTTCTTCCCTCTCCCGGAGTCGTTCAATCCCAATGTCGAGCTCGAGGCGCCGGCGTTCCCCGGTGAAGAGAACAATGAACCGAGTCGGGTTCGTGCTATTGAAGGTGTTTGATTTGGATAGGAGGTTAAAGTAGACAGGGAAGTGCCAGTGAGAATACTGAATGGGTGATGGGTATAAGCGGGATTGAGAATAAAAGAGGTATGTATTCCGGCAAGTTGGTGTCCAAGCTGAGCGCGGTAATCCCGGGGAACGTACTCCTCGAAGAGAAGAAGAGTGGTGGAGATTCGAGGATCTTTACTGTTGGCAGAAGTAACAGATTGGGCCGTTGAAGGTAGAGCCTTGAATTCGACCTGGAAGGCGGATCAGTATCACACAAGGTGTTTGAACATAGACGCAAAATCGCAGAAGGGAGAACGGAACAGTGAGACAGACGGACGAACAAGAGAGATCGTTGTTGAAAATGCGAAGGAGATCAGGGCTTACCAGAACCCAGTTACACTCCTTGAACAACTCACTCCTCCATTTAGCCTTCTCTAAGCGCTCTCCTTCATCCGGAGCATCATCATCTCTACTTATAGATCTGCTGAGAGTCATTGCTTTCATATTTGTAGCACTGTAAGAAAGGTCGTCAGAACGAGAATTGTCAAGTTGGGTTAGGGAAGGAAGTACTGACGATGATAGAGCCATCCCGAATACTAAATCACCCAACAAGCTCAAGGTTGCAGCAGAACCTGAACTCAGCCCGAGCTCGGCGAAACCCCAGCTGACGAGATCGGTCCAAACATCGACGAAAGCAGACTCGATGAGAGTTTCCGATCCAGGAAGGAGTAGAGGAGTAGAGTCATATGTGAAGGGAGGCAGAGGCTAATTATAATGATGAACATCGTCAGTCATTCATTCACAAAAAGAATTTCAAAACAATGATGTCTCCACCTTTTCCTTCTTCTTCAACCTCTTTCCCAGACTAACTCCCGTAATCGATCGTTCCCTTTCTCCTCTTTCCCCTTTCCCTTCAGCTGTCTTGGGCCTCTCGCCTCCTTTCCCCGTCGTACTGCCCCCAATGATACCAAACTCATTCAGATTAAACTGCAACGCGATATTCAACCCAGTGTCTAACGCGAAATCCCCCACATCCTTCAGTCTTCCATCAGCACCAACATAGTTCTTGTCCAGATCACCAGCGTTATTCGTGAACGACGAGCCATAATCAAACCGCGAGGAAGTTGTCGATAGGGTGAGCGGTTTCCGTGCCCCATCACTCATATCAAACCCCCCATTAACAAAATCCCCCCAATTGACACTTCCCCGCTCGCGTTTGGCCGTCCGGGCCTTCCGTGCGCTTTCGGTCAGATCGAATTTCAGAGCCTGGTCGATATCTTTTGCCCCTCGAGTCGATAACAAGGACGAAGGCGGAGAAAGGAACCCGGAGGATTCGAATTCACCCCAGTGTGCGTCTGAGAGGGTCTTGAAGCGGGATTGTTGGGAAGAGGGATGGGCGGAGGATGTGGAGGGTGATGTGGGGGAGGAGGATGATATGGGGGAATTAGGATCGCTCAGGGAGTAGGTGGATGTGGCGGAGGTGGAGCGTGTGAGGGGGCTTGAGGTGTAGGAGGAGTATGAGGAATAAGAGGAAGATGAAGAGGATAAGGAGGATAACGGTGGTGCATAGGGTGAAGACCCGGGTTCGACTCCAGGAGGAATATTCATTTTCTTTCTATAACTCTCCGAGTATTTTGCTGGCATCCTTCCTCCTTTTCCCGGATCAGAACTCCCTTGAACAGGAGGACTTATCCTCGCCCACTCCTTATTCCCCGGAAGACTGTTCTGCGAAAGGCCCGCTCCACCTGTCGCAGCATAACTCGGAAGCCCCCACCGAGCGGAAGACCTCACCAGATCCGCATCGTACGCGGGGACCGTACGTCGGACA